ACTTCAAAGTCTTGAAGCTTCCTTAAAATATGGAGTCAAACCAGTCGCCGAGTTTCTCCATGTATTTGTTCTTCCGGATGTTTTAGATGGGTTGCCAGCTTTGGTTGAGAGAGTCTGTTCTGAGCCTGGTTTTTTAGGCCACTAGCGTCCCAAGAGTTGTGTCGGTGTTGGACACTTCAGAATCCCAAAGTTCAAAGTTTTCTTTTGGCTTTGAAGCTTTCAGAATTCTCAAGGATTGGGACTGGAGTTGCCTTTCGGTAATTTGACAAAAATTAAAGGGTAAATTACACTTTACCTACAAAGTTATGATAATGTAACTGAATAAATGACCTTCCATAAATAATTTAGAACCGTCGGATACAAAAATTAAAAGGTAAATTACACTTTACCACCTTAAGTTTGAGGTCTATTGCAATCTCATGTAACATCTTTAAAAAAATTTCACTTTCATACATCGCCTACTATTTTATTTCAATTTCAAAAACTTGAGAGAGACTAATTGGATCCGAAAATATACGGGTTTTGGGTACAGAATCCAAAGGCCCAAGAGAAAACAGCAAAAACCCAAAAATCAAAACTCAAAAACTTGAAAAAAATACCCAGCAATCCTTAGTGAAAAACCCCAACAGAGCCTCATCCCTCAAGGGAGAGAGAGAGAGAACTCAGAAGTAGAATTTAAGCTCTCAGACTGCCTATGGTGGAAGTAGGCAAGCTGTTCGAGGAAATGCCTGAGAAAAACTCGATGCTTTCGTCCCTATTTCGTAGGTGAAGTCAAGCGAGATCGACTTCCTCCCCATTTCAGTCCCCGATTCCACCGCGGTATCACCCTATTCGACGAAGGCGGCGGCGTCAGCGGCACCTGGGAGTTCGACTTCCGGGGTTTTGACGAGGAAGCCCACCCCCATGTCCCAGAATCCATCACCCTCCTTAAAGCCAACGGCTTGGATCTCGATAAACTTTGGAAATTCGGCATCGATTCAGAGATTTTTGTAGAAGGTTTCTTTGGCTCCAGCTCCTCCACCGAGTTCGCAAATTGATTAAAGTCAGCATAGAAAAAGGATAGGCTTAGAAGAATTGGATATGAGAAATTTGTGAGCACAAATCGATTAAAATCAAAAGTAATGTTATTCGTACCGTATTTTTATATCATATTTTTATAACATTTTAAATGACATCTGTTTACACAGTTATATTATTTTAAAAATTTACAAAATTCAAGGAAAAGAAAGAAAAAGACTCCTCGTATACCACAATCATCATTTAATTAACTAGTTTTTTTTAATTATTAGTTTATTAAATAATGAACTAAATTTAAAAATCTGATTAATTCAAATGATATGGTTGTTTACATCAAATGTCATCCAAGGTGATATGAAAATGTAGTACAAAAACATGGTTTGAATAGCATTACTTTAAAATCAAATCATCAGAGTGGTGCATGATTTCTTCAGGGGTGGGAGAGGATGAACCTACTGCGTTAGATGGGTTGAGAAAGATCCAGTTTTGGGAGACTTTAGATGCGGTCCTTAATTATGATTATTCTTTAATTGAAACCTTATTGTTTTTTAATTTTTTATTAATGTTCCTGAAATTAGTGTGATAATTTATTTTTATATATGTTACTATATTTTTTAATATTAAAAATTAGAAATTTTAATTGTTTATATAAATGAGATTTTAAATAAATAAAAAACCATAATTTGTGAGATTAAAAATATTAAAATATAAATATACTATTGTTTGTGTGTATAAACATGGGTACATTCATCAAAATTAATTGTATCAAAACATGGGTACATTCTCAAAATCACGAAAAAAAAAAAAAAAAAAATATTAGGCTTAATAACATTAAGCCTCGTTTGGCAGTTCGGATTGTACTGACTATTTCTGTCGGATATGATTAATAACCACCGGATAGTATTAACTAAATTAATCGGGCGTTTAGTGCAATATCGAACTAATGACCATATTATTTATACTATGTTTGGTATTATACCGGATAGAAAGAATCAAACTTAAAATAAAATTAAAAAAAAAAACTGAAATCATCTCTTTTGTTCACCAGATCTCTTTGCCGCACCCCCTAAACTCCCTCCTTCTCTCCCCCTTCTTCTTCCTCAACTGATTTCCGACTCCGAAGCTCTGCAATTAACACCCACAGACTCAGTTTTCCTTCACTGCAATTTCGATCAAGAACCTCTCTGCAAATATACCATGTTTCTTTGCAAGACCCAGTTGCAGAAACAGCCCAGAAACAAATTAACTGAACCAAAATCCACAAACTACCTGAAGAATCATTGTCATCGATTCCCGTTCGTCGGAAAAACAAGAACAAGGGGAGGGCCCACGGTTCGGCGCACGATTGGTGAATTTTTTATTTTTTATTTTATCTCCTCTTTGCTGCAGATTTAGAGGGGGTGCTTTGTAACATATAAAATTGCAATAAATACAACCCCACAATTAGTGAATTAGTGTTGCTATTTTGGGTCAATGGTGATTTGGCCAACGGTGAAGAACAGAGGGAAGGGCAGAACCTGGGAAGAAGAAGAAAAATAAAAAGACGAACTGGGATTCAAAAGAAGAAGAATTTGAGAAGATGAACCTGGGATTCAGACGAGAAAGCAAGAGTGCGTCTGGAGAAGAAGGGGAGAGCGAGAGATTTCAGCCCTACTAAATTGTACCGTGGATTTGGATGATATAAGCAAGCGAGTAAAGACAGTATAAAAAAGGTGGGCCCAGATTATTTAAACCGGTGATTATTTAATCTAAACAGAAACTAAACACCGTACTCTGTACTATTAGTACTATCCGATGCATTATATAGTGTGCCAAACAGGGACTTAGTAAATTTCTTTGATTAAACTTGACATAGATACATTTTAAAATCAAAGAAAAAAGAATGCGCCCATATAAGTTTAAAAATGGATTAGAAAAAAATTGAATAGATTTTATATAAAAAATTGTACATTTTACATATAACAACTTGGTATATTTAAGAATGAGTACATTTTAAGATTAAAAAGTTTTACATGAATGGGTACATATAATTAGCATGGGTATATTTAGCAAAATAAAAAGTAAAAAAAAAAATGGGTACAAATACAAATAAACTTTAAAAAAATATAGGCACAAAAAGACATTAATATATGCGTACAAATTAAAACTGAAAAGAAACTTGGTACAAATTAAAAAAAGAATTACAAATTAAAAATGGGTACAAACTAAAACTAAAAATATATGATAAAAATTTTAGTCACAAATATAAATATACTAATTATAACATTTTTAACATTAAATGAATATATTTAGAAATTAAAAAAAAATATTTTATTATTGAAATAATCAATGATGTTATTAATACCCAAGAATCTTGATAAAATTTTGAAAATGAATAGGATTTTAATCAATGGAATAGCAAAAGGAAGGATGAGAACCTAATTTCTCCTAATTATATATACAGTTTCTAGCTATATGTCATTTCAATTTTATTTTATTAATGAAATCTTGGTTTTCACATGTAATTAAAATGGTGTTCTTCTTTTATGCGCAGGTGTTGGGAAGATCTTGGTCGCCTGATGTGGTCTGATAGGAAGTTCTGTTTGGTACTCAATCTTAAATGAAGTCGTGAGGGGCTGCATGTTTTTTTTTAGAACTATTTTATTTTCAGTACTTTATTTCGGCTTGGTCAGGACTCATGAGCTTTCGGGCTCGTTTTGTTTGGGCATTTTATTTTGTAAACTTAATAGTGCTAATATTTGAGGTCCCTTCTATACATGGGGGATTTGAACTTATAATTTTTCTGGTAAGTTTAGTACTAGTGTATTGCCATGTGGTATAATTAGTTTATGTGGTATCATATGCATGAAAATGTACAGATGGTATTACATTTAAAGGGAATTATCAATCATGTCGTCCACCAATACTATAACACATAAACGAATTATACTAGGTAGACATTTTCCAGTACCACATATTACTGTTTTCCTACTAAAAGTCAGTTGGTTTCTATCTTATTGTTAGGTCATCTCCAGTCACGTCACATAAGGCTAAACCTAGCCCTTATCTATGTTTTAGCACTTAACCTTTTATTTTAATAAAGAATAATTAAGACCATATAGGCTTAAATATTCTTCATCTCCATTTACGCAAGGCTAAATCTTTTCATCTTGACTTGGCATTCACATGTTGGGGCCCACCGAGAGGTTTGAATGCTTGCTCTATATAGCCCTTGGTTAATCTTAGCTTTGATTCTTTTTGGGGGATATATTTTGGCATTTTGGCTGAAGACAACTTTTACACAAATTAGGGTTAAAAGTGGTCTATAACCGTTGGTTGGAGATGATCTTAATTAAATGTAGTATAAAGGTGGCTGAAATTAGTGGTAATGTGTTTGCTTGGAGTTACAAACCAAGAAAATTCAACTTTTAATATAAGAAGAGCTTTCAACCCCTACAAAAATGGTTGATTTTTGCACACCCATTTCCCCTATCCTACACATTTTCTTTTTAATTTAGATTTTGATTATCTTTTTATTTGTTCAATCTAATCGCAAACCTAAATTGTTTTGAGAAGTTGGCTTTAGTAGTTCTCTTAGGATATCACCATTTACGACCCTCTCTCAACATGTATCTCATCTACTATTACTTTTATTTGATTAAAATGACCTTCATTTGAATCCAGTATATCGAACAAAGATTATCAAGGAAGAATAACGACAATCACATTGATAGTATCAATAGAGAGCATAAGCAATATGGTACATCTTATTTACAAGTGAAGATAATATTAATAACATGTAGTATACTAGTGTGTGTTGGTAGAAGAGGATAAAATAAATTTTTTTTTTTTTTTTAAAGAAAGTTCGGGCCAATTTTAATATTGGGTAACGCCTCAACTCAAACTTGTTCGGGTTCACTGGCCCGAACTTTGTCCAGCTTGGGCTCAATCTTTATCCGGTGCAACGACGCCGTTGCAGTCAGTCTCTAGGTAGCAGGAGATTGGCACGTGATTGCCTTTCTCATCCACATTTTCGGTGCGAACCCAAACTATTGTAAACCCACCAGTTCGGCCCCCGCAAAACCCTTAACTCGTTCCGAGTCAACTCACCGACTCGATCCAAATGGACACGCACTCCTCACACCTTGCCGCGTCGAACCGTTCGCGGAGCTCGCAGACCCCGTCCCCGTCGCATTCGGCCTCGGCCTCGGCCACCTCATCGATCCACAAGCGCAAGCTCGCGTCCGAGGATCACGCGCCGCCGTTCCCTCCCTCTTCCTTTTCGGCCGACACTCGCGACGGCGCGTTGACGTCCAACGACGATCTCGAGAGCATTTCTGCTCGTGGCGGCGGCGCCGATTCCGACTCGGACGATGAGTCCGACGCTCTGGTCGACGACGATGAGGAGGACTTCGACAACGACTCCTCCATGCGAAACTTCACGGCTGCGCGCCTCGATAACAGCGGCGGTTCTGCTGTGGCGCGCAACTCTAAACTCAAAATTGAGAACGCGACGGTCAAGAATGAGCCTTCGGATGGCGCGAAAGAAGGCGGCGCCCCAGCCGGAGCCGGTGCCTCGGGGACCACCGCGGCCGCAGGGCCGGTTCCGGGGATCGTGGTGAAGGAGGACGCCTCTAAGATCTTCACTGAGAATATACAGACCAGTGGAGCTTACAGTGCTAGAGAAGAGAGTTTGAAGAGAGAGGTAAGCTTCTCTGAATTAATTTTTTTATAATTACTTTTTATTTTATGAAATTGAGGAATGTGAATTCGTACGAAATAAAATTGAATTTGGAATCAAAATTGTGTTTTCGAATTTGATGTTTTAGGAGGAAGCAGGGAGGCTCAAGTTTGTGTGCCTTTCGAATGATGGTATTGATCAGCATATGATTTGGTATTTGTCTCTGATGGAACTTTCATTTCTGATCTTTCATGATTTAACAATGCTGAACGAAACAACAACAAAGCTTTATCCCACTAAGTGGGGTCGGCTATATGAATCCTAGAACGCCACAATGCTGAATGAAATACAAAAAGAAAAAGAAAAAATGAAACCGATTCCGCTTAAACAGTTTGTTATGAAATTGTTTAACAATGCGGGTATGGAGCTTGATTTAGACCGCTGTTTTTGGTTTTTCTCAGGTTGGTAGGATTGAAGAACATATTTGCCAGGCAACTACCAAACATGCCAAAGGAGTACATTGTCCGACTTGTTATGGATAGGTAATACTATTAGCTCATCTTTCAAGCACATGGAATAAGTGATTCGGGTACCTTGGTTTATATCATTTGGGATGTGAAACATAACCCTTTGTCACGCATCTGATTGAATCTAATTTCTTTTATGGTTTCTGAAATGGCAGAAGTCATAAATCAGTTATGGTTATCAGGCGTAATCATGTTGTCGGTGGCATAACATATCGACCATATATCAGGTTAAATTTGTATTTTATCATCTGTATATTCATGTGTTGGCATTTTTTTTTTTTTCACATTCTTCAGTACATAGTTGAGGCTTCATCTATGACATACTTTATTTACCCTGTTACCGACACCCTTTTCCTCTAATTCAGTCAAAGGTTTGGAGAGATAGCCTTTTGTGCAATCACAGCTGATGAACAAGTTAAAGGTTATGGTACTAGACTGATGAATCACTTAAAACAGCATGCACGGGACGAGGACGGCCTAACCCATTTCCTGACTTATGCTGACAATAATGCTGTTGGCTACTTTATTAAACAGGTATTGTTCTCCATTGTTTGTGTAATCACCTTTTAGGTTTTCTACTGATTCTTTCTGTATAAACTAATAATGCCAGTTTTTGACATTTTTTTCAACACTTCAAATGTTTTTTCTTTTTTGTGCTTCTGAGTTATGGAGTGGATCTGGTAAAGGAACTGCACTAAGGCGTATTTACTTGTAGGGTTTCACAAAAGAGATTCACTTGGAGAAAGACCGATGGCATGGGTATGTTTTGCACACAACTCTTGTTGTTCAAAGACTGCCAATTTTGTTTTTCAGATCTAGGTTTCTTAGGTCCTTTGTATGCTTCAAGTTCTTACCCTTGAGACTAAAATCACTACCAAAACAAGGGGAAAGATAAAACAAACAAATGAACTTGTGAGATGGTGGCCCTCACCAGTATATGATGCACTGCCAGATTTATGTTCTGGCCCTTACCAGTATATGATGCACTGCCAGATTTATGTTCTTACTTAATGTGAAAAAAAAAATTCAGTTTTGAAATTTGCTCAACGTTTTATTGTTATCTGCAGCTATATAAAAGATTACGATGGAGGAATCCTAATGGAATGCAGAATTGACCCAAAGCTTCCATACACCGACTTATCCACTATGATTCGTCGTCAGAGGCAGGTAAGAGTCACTTCAATAGATTTTAGATTTTCATATTAAAGTTTAAATTGGTTCCCATGTAAAAATATGTCTTGATAGATGCCAAATCAATAAATCATGTATAGAGTATTGAACCAAGGTGTATTTACTACATTCTAAACTGTCTTCTTGTTTTGGTCTTATGGTAGGCGATAGATGAAAAGATAAGAGAGCTTTCAAACTGCCACATTGTTTATCCTGGCATGGAGTTTCAAAAGGTAACATAACAGTATCCTAGATTTTGAAGATTATGCCATTTGTTTCCAGTGGTTTCTTTAAATTTTTTAGTATTCGACATAGCCTGTCAGAATATGGTATCACAGTGGTTCCTTTCGTTGTTCATTAACTGTTATGATCAATCAAGTATTTCAATGTCTACAACTTAGTTCTGATCACGTATTTATTTATCCAGAAAGAAGCTGGTATACCTAAAAAAATTATCAAGGCCGAGGAAATACCTGGCTTGAGTAAGTTCTATAACTTTGCTTAACTAGTTTTTTATGGGGCTTTTGGATCTAGGTCCAAAAACTTAGATAGTTTTTGGGACCGAGTCCAGTTATCCAATTACATATTTTGATATCAATTTTGCCTATTTAGATAAAAATATTTAAATTCTTTAATTTTTTATCATTTATTCAGTTTTTAAATTTTGAATATTTAAATACTCAAACTAAAATATTATCTAGTAACTACCTACTATTTATGAAGAAAACAAGACCGATATAATCTAGTAACTACCTACCTATTGTATAGGAAGAAAATGCTTTATACCTACAAAGCAGATATAATCTACCCGCAAAACAAAAATAAACTACCTATTGTATTGGAAGAAAAATGCTGGGAACCTACATGGCGGAACATAAAAATATAAATATGATATAATATACCTCCATTAAAGGAACGAATTTGGAGGGAAGAACACAAAAATATCACCCATGAAAAGAAGAGACAAAAAAGAGAAGGATTGATAGAGGGAATTGTTTGGAAGAAGGAAAAAATGAGGGATGAAACAGACTGGGGGTTGAGATGATTATATGGCTATAACTAATCCTACAATTAAGGGATTAGTTAAACCACAAATTATCTCATAATTAAGAAATTTTGTGTATTTACTACAATTCGTAAGCCTAAGGGGTAAATATGGTACAAACCACAAATAAACATACATGGAATTTCAATTATTGGACCTATTTCAATGAAGTGGACTAATTCTACTAATCTCTCACAAAATTGGATCTATATCAAATTATCCCTTTTTTTATTTCCTTAATCAGTCATTCAAGCTGCGACTTGTCATAAGTCATAAAGAAAGCTGTAACTTCATGCCAACCTCACCTTGTGTTTAAGTTCTGTTGGTGAAGTTGAATGGGTAATCTGAATTTTATGGAACATTTTGGTAATAGGGGAGGCTGGGTGGACCCCGGATCAATGGGGGCATTCACGCTTCGGAACTTTGAGTAGTTCCACAGACAGTGCCAGGAAGAATTTGACTGCATTCATGCGATCACTTCTAAAGGTTAATCTCTTCGCTCTTCTTTTGCAGTTGCCTTTAGTTTTTTTATCATGGAGAATAGTGAGCTTGTCATTTTCTTTTTACAATAGTTTGATCCTATCATATGTTGCTATGCATTTTTCACTTGCATGCCTTTTAATTTGAGAAATGAATCGGATGTTTCCTTATATTCAATTTAAATATATGGAAACTCCACAAAGCATGAAGGACTACATAGAAAATATATGCTTCGGTTCTGCACTTGCAATAGAATACCATCTAAGTCTCTTAAAGCCAAGTGCCTTTCCAGGGGGCGGAAGCAATATGAGTTTGTATCATTGTATGCAATACGCAAAATACAATGTATGGCAGGCTGCCATTTGAGGTGTATTGACTATTTTTGTCGGTATGGATAGAAGACGCATATGAATATTGTAATTTATTTTAACTTTAATTTATATAGTCGACTTTAATATTTTTAACCCTATGTCCTGCTGTCAGTATCGAATGCCTTCTTACCATAGAAATTTTCATATGCGCAGAGTATGCATGAACATGCTGATGCCTGGCCTTTCAAGGAACCAGTCGACGCACGTGATGTTCCTGATTATTATGACATCATAAAAGATCCTATGGGTAAGAAGGACAATTTCTTTAATTAATTTCAGCGACCCGCAAAGAACATGGTTTAAATGTCTTCTGCACTATGTAGTTGCATTGTGTCTGAACTTGCTCCATGTGCCTTCATGGAAACCATACTTTGAAGATTTGATTTCTGAAAAATCTAGTTTCGATAATAGCTTGGTCATAATCTGCTCATTGTCGTTGACATCCTGAGTAGCGAAATTGCCAAGACTTCTTAAATGTACTTCAAAAGTCGGCACAAAGTTGAGTTAGATGTTTGTAAATGTGCATATCGTATCAAATATTCGAAGCTTTTAACGGATATTTAATATGATGCAGATCTGAGGACGATGTCAAAGAGGGTAGAGTCGGAGCAGTATTATGTAACATTCGAGATGTTTGTTGCAGATGCCAAGAGGATGTTTGCAAATGCACGCACCTACAATTCCCCGGACACCATTTACTACAAATGCGCAACAAGGTATGGCAGTGCGTCCACGTCCCTCCCCATTTTCGTTCTTTTCTATGCTTGTTTCTGATTTCAATCTACTCCTTTCAGGCTGGAAGCCCATTTTCAAAGTAAAGTTCAGGTAGGTCTCCAAGGTGGTGGTGCCAAAATCCAGTAGTGAATTTTATTTTATTTTTAATTGTAAGCCCATGCCGTTATGTTTCAAGTTGGTTTTTACTTTATGTCCCGATTGTTGCAAAATTTTCATAGGAATAGAAGACAATGTGTTGTAGATTCAACGTTTGTTGATACACTCAAGTATTGATGGGATAGCAATCGAAATGTTCTTAATTACTTGAGCTACAAGTCTTTTGCGGTGGTAATTCTCGTCTAACTGAAACATGGTCGTGGGCCGTGGCACACAAAGTTTGACAAGAAAAAGATTATTTACGGCAAATTCTAAAACATGAACACTTACGGAATTGAAATGTAAACTGTACGAAAACAAAGGGCCAAAGTATAAATCCCACTAATAAATACATATTCAATCAGCCATTTATCCCTCTGTCCTGCAAATTAGGAAGGCCCCCACATTCAGTTCTACTTATTCTTTGGGACGGCGTGAGGGAGCTGAGGGTCCCATCCCGGCAATGCTTCACCCACTCCTGGCCGTGGCTGCTGCTGCTGCTGCTGTGGCCGTGGCTGCTGCTGTTGCTGCTGTGGCCGTGGCTGCTGTGGCTGTGGCTGCTGCTGCGGCATGTGATCTATGTTGCCTGTGTGCGGAATTGAAGAGTTTTGAGTCATGTTGCTTCCAGCGACAACTGGTTGGCCAACATTACTCTGTCGGTTCCTAACCAGAGAGATTGGGGGGTTCGCGTGAAAGCCAGTGTCCAATCTCTGGTGATGCAGAGGAGTAGTGGTCATACTAGGAACTCCCGGGTGAAAGAGGTGGTTGGAGTTCGGTTGCATTGGCACAGCAGCATTTGTAGATGCATTCATTGGGTTGTTCACTGATGGCATGCCTGCGTTAGCTACATTTGACATGGCTAGACGTAGCGGGTTGATCCCCGTCACTCTCTTCACAGATTCTTCTGCCATTTTCACCTGATTTTGTTTTTTCAAATACATATCACCTTGAATCAATAAGAAAACTGAATTAACAGTATACAGGGTATTTAAAGAAAAAAATATGCAAACGAAAACAAAATCTGAAAACGCAGAATGTCTTAGCTGTTAACCTTTGCTCTTAACGTCTCAATATCAGCCCTTAATATTCTGTTGTCAACAGCGGCATTATCATATTTTTGGTTCACATCAGTGAGACGTTTTAACAGCCCAGAGTGTTCAACTCTTAGCTGACCAACCTGAATGAAAGCAAACATATAACTTCATAATGTTGTCTACGTACAAATAACGATTACGGGATATATCAAGAAAAGATGATGGTTGTTATTGCTAATTCATAATTTGAAACAAGGAGCACCACCTGTGTCTCAAGTTCACTCATTTGGGCTTGTTTTCTCCTCCTTGAGCGTCTAGCTGACTCTCGATTGGACAGCATCCTGAGCACCATTAACATGTCAATGGATAAAAGGCCAAGTTTTTGGATTTAGCAATATGGTAACCCGTTGTCAAACAAATTCATCAGGTGAAAGTTCAGTAGACAGGAAACATTTCCCTCCTTCCAAATCAGATCATTTTGCTTCAAGAATCACTGATTCCGAAGCAGGTAGGCACTTGCTCTAAATTCTCTACTAAAAAAAAAAAAAAAAAACGAACTTCTGTTTGGACAGACTAAAGTTTTAAACTTTCTACTCATCTTTCGTGCATACAGGGGCTCATACTAACCATCATCCATCACAAAGGCAATCAATGTGTTGATGCCCTTCGCATATCGATTATTGTGGAGATACTATAATTCAGGTCAATTAAGCCAAATAGCAACTACTCATCCTTCTTGCACACAGAACCCATAATAACAAATCATCCATCAAGAAGGCAATCAATGTGTCGATGCCCTTCATATAGCAATTGTTGTAGAGAAATTATAACTAGTGTCAATTAAGCCTAAACACCTACTATTACTTGGAGACCGATGAAATAACCAAAACATTACACCAAGATATGAAATTAAACTACCTAATTAATTCAAAAAGTAGGCAAGCAAAATGAACACAAGCAAAGAAATGGGTTACCTCCTAGCACGTTTCACATCAGAAGGACCCATATTCTCATTAATCTCAATGTCTCCTTCGAGATCATCATCGTCCGAGTCCTCTTTCGACGATCCACTTGTTGTTTGCTTACTCAGCACCGGAGTTCTCCTCTGAGCAGCAGGTAAAGCCGAAACGCCAAGCGGGCTTGCGTCAGCTTCATTTTGTGTCACTGGCAAACCATTACCAGAATCTAGCAATAGCTCAAATCAAATGGGTTTTCGAATGTTAGACACAAATATAAGGATCATTTACATATCTCAGAGAAATGCTTTGAAAAAAGTTCCCAAATTTAATTTACACACAACCAAATTACGAAATTAAACAACTAAATCATAACATATTAAGCACCTAAGCAAGCAATGAGCCAATGACAAACCTTTATCAAGCGATCGAGTAGGGGCTAATTGTGAAGGCTTCGACACGGGCGATTGATTCTCGGCTAGATTAACCAAATCCACAGGCGTCAAAGACGATGCCTGCAATCACATTCATCAATGAAAAAAAAAAAATTTAAAAATTTAAAAAAAAAATCAAATAAAAAAAAATTGATGTGAGAGAGAGATACGCGAGAGAGAGCTACTGCTGCGCAAGCCAGATCGAGCCGGTTCTTAAGAAATTCGCGGTACTGGTCCGAGTTAACCGGAGCCTTCGGAGCTGGATCCAACACCGTCGGCTGCGGAGGATGATTGAGCTGCTGAGCTGGTGGCTGTTGACGATGACGATCGGGCTTCTTGATCTCAACTACCTCTTCGTCCACATCGTCGCGCTTCGACGTCGACGACTGAGACGCGACGGAACAGGAAGCGGCGGAAGAGACGGGAAATTGCTCGGCGACCGATTGCCGAGGAGTGGCGGCCGGCGTCGAGAACTCGTCGAGGAACTGCTCGAAGGCCCACTCCGACGCGCTCCGATTCATCTCCGCCGCCGGCGACGACAGCGCCCAAAACGGATCGGAGGAGTCGTCCGCGGTGAATACTGAATGCATTCTCTGTGCGCGCGTGCGTGTCCGAAATATCCGATTTTTGTTGTTTTCGTCGACGAGATGCGAACTTTCGTGTGTTTATATATCGGACTTCGGACAAAATGGAGGAATATTCTGGTGATGTACGGTACAGCATAATAATTATGCACGGGGACTTTTTCTGACGGCCGGCGTTGATTTGGATGTATTTGCCACGTGTCGTGTGTTGAATAATTGATGTGGCGGCCTGTGCAGCAGAGGATAAGGGCCAATTTTTGGCTGATCGGAGGAAACCCACGAGTCAAGAGACATAAATGAAGAACAAATGTGAAACATGAAAGTGGGGATCCACATGGATGGGTCCCATGTAAAGTTGAAAAGATTTTTTTTTTTAAGAACTCCTTTACGTAACCGTAATCAAATTTGAAGAAATTAAATTGAGAGGATAAAAGGGCTGTATTGACCCTTCCATCTTGTATTTTTGACCGCACTTTTGAAACTACAATGGTAAGATTTTCACGTCATGCGGGGATTACATGCTTCGAATGTAACGCACTTGCAACAATAAGAAGAAAAATCGCATAAAATGTCTTCAGAGGAGTGCAGATTTCAAAGACTTGGTGAAGGTTGCTAGTTCCTTCAACCCTTCCTCGGGAGTTTTCGCTTCGCCCAACAGCTTCACCATCGCACTACCAACGATGACGCCGTCGGCTCCCCACCCTGCTACCTGTACAACACACGTGAAAAAGTATCTCGATTGAGGGTGTAGGATGTTAGCAGGGAGCGTAAAGTAGCCCACTGAGGGTGTAGGTGTAGGTGTGAGGCATTATGAGTTAGGTTAAACTAATGACCTGTTTCGCGTGTTCAGGCTTTGAGATGCCGAAACCAACTGCAACAGGCTTTTTTGTTGTCTGTCGCATAAAAGGTAAGCGTGATTATGCAAGACAAACATGTTAGTTGAAGTGGGATCATGTCAACTAAATAATGTTTTCTAGCTCCATTTGGTATTGAAGCCTAAACACTTTAAAAGACATTCAGTTCAATTCTAGCACCTAATGATATAACCTAATTCAAAAAAATAAAAAAAAATAAAACTCTACATTGGTAGACCGTAGAACTGGTTCAGAAGACAAACCTCTTTAATTTCCTTTAAAAGAGCAGGAACTCGTTCATTCACAGATGCACGGGCACCAGTAACTCCGATCGAGCTCACCTATAGCTCGAAACAATGAACAATAAATTGCAATTAGCAATGTCATACTCACCCCAAGATACAGACGAAAGAATTTGCATAAACAAAATGTCTGTGAAGAGAACACAACTTGCCAACATGTTATTGATAGGAGATTATCTCTCCGAAAAATAAAGTTCTTTAACAAAAGCCACATTTAGCATCCACTTTCATGACACCAGTATAGCATGTATCCAATAGCTTCATTTTCTAAGCTGAATGATAATTCTGGAAAATTGGGCATAACTCAAAAGATTCTTAAACCTATATAGAATATAAAGTACCAAGAATACATGCTATTCTTACCAGGTACAGAAATCCTTCTGAAGCTTCGGCAATGGCCTTCATTCGATCAATTGGAGTAGTGGGTGTTGTTAGTAATACCTGTAAATCATACAAGCGGATCGGAAGTATTACAATTACATCCAAACGTATGAATAAATAATTTGAACTTATTTACAAAATCCAAAAATAGTGCAGGGATAAAAACTAAGAAACAAACCAATTCAATATTATTTTTCGCAGCTTCCTTTCTTAAAATTTCTGTTTCCTCCAATGGAACATCCGGAACCACAAGCCCTACAAGCCAAAATGAAATAGGATTCTAGTCATATTCCTATAAGCTATATAGACTATTTTAAGACTAAATCAAGTTGACAAAGGATAAACAGAACTAATTATGATATTCAGATACATTATAGAGCAAGTGCTTATACATTACCATGTACACCAACGTCTTTGATGGTGGACATGAACTCAGGAATCCCACGCTTCAAAATTGGGTTATAGTATGTAAACAGAGCAATTGGGCAAGACAATTGGGGAATCACCTGTCCATTCAACAATATTAATATAATAAGATTAGTTTGATGGAGAAAGAGACAGAGACAGAGACAGGTGACAACGTGAAACAAGAACTGTACACAAATTTGTTATACCCCCTCTAGCAACAACTTCAAGATGTCTGTATGCATATCATTCGTAGATTCATTTAAGTAAGAAATGTCATGGGAGAATATGCTATTGTTTTGATATGAATTCTTATTCCTACATCCCACATAGAGATACATGGTATGGTAATATGAGAATTACTTGGATGCTTATAATCAGCATATGTCATGGGTTTCAGCAATCCATATTTCGTTGGTAGTCTTAGTTACAGTAATAAATCTAACGTACTATTTTGAGATACAAAATCAACAAAATATCAAGTTGTTTTAACATTGCATATAAATATACCTCCTTCAACATTGAAATAATTGCATTGAGATTGGTCCCTCTTGCCAGGGAACTGGTGGCTGCAGCCTAAGAAATAATACCACACTAGTAAGTGGAGGATACAAAACAGGAACCTATTGAACATAAATTGTAAAAAGAACATGCCTAAGTATACAATACAAACGAAAAACATATCAAACCTGTATAACTGGACCATCTGCTAATGGATCAGAATATGGCACGCCTAATTCGATTATGTCTGATCCACAAGAATCAAGCACCTTCAATGCTTCTGCCGTGATTGAAAGGTCAGGATCACCAGCAGTGATGTAAGGGATAAATGCAACCTTCAAAGGAAGACAATCATTAGTACAACAAAATTTGACAGAATAACTAATTTCATCTGAAATCAGCCACAACTCCCAGTCCTAGTCCTAAGATGAAATTTAGTTAAGAAAACCAACTTTCCAATGTCTATCCAGTCTGAAGCATGCAGAACAAATAACCACAAACATAACTTGTGACTGATTAATATAAAGGAATGTCTATAACAACTTTGTCAACACTGGTAACATGCAGAATATTTTGGTCAAGGCCAAAACGTTCTCAAGAACAAGAACCAAACAACGTCTCATCAGTCAGCATCTCTTCCCCGACCCTAATTGGAAATGAGGCCATCATATGAAGGGGAAATTGAACATATTAAGAACATGGCAATGCCAAGAGCACCAAGAGAGCTAAGAAAAAGGTGCACTTTGGCAGGTGATTAAGACCCGACTAAGAGTTACAAAGAATTTGGCAGCCTTCATTGGGCATAGAAAACCGTGAATTTGGTGGGTTTTGCCAGTTTTTCAACGGGGATTCAAATGAAAGAACAAAACATGCAGAACAAGCACACCGAATAATGAAACTTTGTAAACCCAGATTTCATTGGGCAAACAAAGCCATGAGATTTGATGGGTTCTGCAAATTTATCAACAGGGATTCAAATGAAAGAACAAAACTGCAGAAAAGGGCACACCAGATGATGAAAATTTCAAAACCCAGCTTTCATTGTGCATAGAAAGCCACGAAACTTGGCGGGTTCTGCAAAATTTTCAACATGGATTCAAATGAAAGAACAACCAAGCATAACAGGCACACCAAACGACGAAACTTTTCAACAATGCAATCCAAATCTCCTAACCCCAGATGCCCAAAAATTGCTTACCTTTCCCTGATCCTTCAAATTTATGAAAGTTTGGGAGAGGCTGACGACTGGGGTAGAAGCGAAAGCCGCCATTGGAGCAAACTTCTTGGTCGAAATGGTGGATACTTGATTGGGAGAGCTAAAAAGCAAAGGATTTTGTGGTTTCTTCAGTTGGAGAAACCCAGCCGCAGATTTCAGAGAAGAAGCAGCCTCCATTCAGTATACACACCAGTGAGAGGGTTTTGTAGGGTTTTCAGTAGCCTTTGTCTGCTGGTGTGGCGGTACACTTCGGTCCGAACTCTTCAACTCGCCATTGATCCCTTCTTTATCTTATACAATTGTCTCAACCGTTGAATTCAGCAAATTTTTTATTTTCCCCCAAATGAAAATTTTTCAGTTTATTTTGGGCAAAAAATTTGTGAGTTTAGTTTATTTTTGAGGAAACTTGATATAAGTCCAATTTTTTGAGCCAATTGTAGGAATAGTCCAGTTTATTAAAATAAGTTCAATTTGTTATATTTAATTATTTAATTATCAATAGTTATCTGTTCAATGATAAGATTTATTATAAAAATCAAATTTCTTCCCAATTATCTCTTTGCTTATTTCTTTTTATTTATCTTTTTGTTATTTCTCGTTCTTCCTCCTACTTTAAACCCGATTTGTAGATTTTATTTTTAATTTTTATAATCAACCTATATCACAGGTTAATTATATTTATCTACCTATATGATAGATTCTTTTTTTATAATCAACCTGTCACAGATTAATGTGTCTTACTTGTAGGTATGTTATGTTTTTTCTACATTTTAATTAGGTTTCATATCTCACGTATAGGTATTATATACATTCATATATTTGTTACTTGAGTTAGGGTAGAATGTTTTGTAGATAAATTTATGTTAGTATATTAGTTTTTTTGTTATAAGATATTAAATATATTCTTTTGGAGTTGGAAAATGCATAATATTAGAAGATTTTAATTGATTTTTAATATTTTTAGAAAATATAAAATGAGTATAAAAGAAATAAAAACAAATAATTAGATAACTGGACTCACTCCTAAAAACACTCTACATTTTTGGACCTGGATCTAAAAGCCCCATTACTTTTTAAGTAAATTGTAGCAATGATCCTTAACTTTTACTCAATTAAATGTTGGAAGGAATATTGCTACAATTGGAGTCCCTCAACTCATCAAAACGTGTAGCTATGATCATTTTCGTCTATTTCGTTAGAATTTTGTCAAAATGAATTATGTTGGAATGATCATTGCTACAATTGGGTTAAAGTTTGAGAGACCATTGCTCCAATTGAGTTAAAGTCGAGGAACCAATGGTAATTGATTTTTAGTTGAGGGACCATAGCTGCACGTTTTGATGAGTCGAGGGACTCCAATTGTAGCAATGATCCTTCCAACATTTTGATGAGTCGAGGGACTCTAATTGTAGCAATGATCCTTTCAACATAACTTATTTTGACAAAATTCTGATGAAGTTGTCAAAAAAGACCATAGTTACACATTTTGATGAATTGAGGGACCAATGGTAATGAATTTTTAGTTGAGAGATCATTACAACAATTTACTCTTTTTTTTTTTCACATATGATATTATTTACAAAAGGACGGGTTTAGCCTCATAATGGATTAACAATAATATGGTTTAAGTTCGCAATTGGGAAGAATCGAACCTAAGACCTTTTAGTTACATGTGAAGAGGAATACAACTAAACCTTATGATTTTTTATTTTAGGTTCTCAGTGTTAAATAAAAATAAAAAAAGGACCAAATGGTGGCTTCGTCCCTGCTTCCAGATGGATCTTGGTATCCAGTACCCAGGTCAGGTAATTCTTCCCGGTAATATCCAGGGCAGCAAATTCAAGCTTCGCCAAGTTCGCCATTTTCTTTTCTGAAAGAAAATGAGATATGTAAGAACTTGCAATAATATATATTCCTGAAGGAATATGATGTTAGAACTTCTGGTTCTTACAAATTTTTCATTTTGATCTTCAGGCCAAAATGATAAGCACTCGAAACTTCTGGCTCAAGATTTTCAGAGTGAATGAGAAGGGCGATTGTACCGCACCATTTTTATTGAAATAATGTAATATAGAATGGGAGATTATTCCGCACCACTCAAGTAACAGGAAAATTAAATATGCAAAGTAGTGTGGACGATTATACCGCACCACCTAAAATTGCAATAAAATTAAACAGCAGGTAAATTTATAAGCAGGGTAGGGTGGGCGATTATATCGCTCCACCTAAAATTTCCAGTAAAATTAAATCTGCAGTCCAAGATAGGCGATGATACCGCACCATCTTGGATCGCAGTAAGAATAAATTTACAGTTCAAGATGGGCGATTGTACCGCACCATCTTGGATTGCAGTGAAATTAACATAAATAAATACTGGGTTAGTAATCAATCTCTACACTAAACAAGTAATCAAAGATGTATGTAACCGTTAGTTGGAGAACTAAGAGCAGGCATGGAGCAAACAATTCGTCGCGAGGGTATACTGCGCAGTTGAGGCAGAGGAAGAAGATGAACAGTAAAAACCTTAAAAGAAACATTTTTTCTTTCTTTCGTTCGTTCAGCAAAGAGAGATGAGAGAATAATTATATTTAGAGACTCGTGCTGATAACGTGTTATAAAAAGGTCAAAGTTAGAGGAAAAACCTTTTTAATGGTAGGTGCAAGGTAGATGTAAAATGCTACATTAAAACTATAGCACAGGTAGATAACAAATAAAAGCAGAGAAAATAGATGATGTTACTAATATTTTTCTCTCGTTCACTTCTTCTTTTCTTTCCTTGTAACTTAAAAACATGCGGAGTGCTCTATTTATAGAGCAACTCCAAACTGATGCAGTTAATGCATTTTGAAATTTTACGACACTTCGTCTGACTATACAATCTCTTTCACTTTGCATGAGCATTGAAAACTTCTGCCCATGCTGAAGACTTTTGCTAACATACTGTGTGGGCATTCATTGCCATCAGACTTTTCAACGGTCCTAGCAGCATATGTAGCAATGACTCTTTATTTTAAATTTTTTTTTTTTTTTTTTTTTTTAAAGAAAGTACGATATTCATTAGTACAAAACATGCATACAAAGAGATGATAAGGTGCTAAAATGGGCCTCAATAAAAACCTTGTTGGAGATTTCAACCCAGTCTAAGGAAAAAAGAGTGTCACGCACAAATAGCTATCATCACCGTAACGTAAACGGTTACACTTGATTGTCTTCTAACAAAGCATCTAAAATAAAAACTGGGGGAGATTCAACACACCCAAACCAGCATGCGCTTGCCTGTGTGCCATGTTGTTCGCTTCCCGATGCACAAAGTTCAATGATGTTCCCTCCATGCTGCATAAAACTCCTTTGATGTCGTTAATTATAGGTCCCAATAATGAACAATCATCCTTGGAACGATTCACGGCTGCAAGCACAACACTTGAGTCTCCCTCCAAAATCGAATTCGAAGTAGCACTTTGGAATTCCATTAGTAGCTCTGCTGCTCTTCTAACAACAAGCAGCTCAACTTGTAGGGGTGAATTAACATGGCAAAAAGGCCCAGAAAACTGCAGCGATAAAATTGCCCACCTAATCACATATAACCACACCATATCATCCCCGATGCGACCATTCATGCCATGCTCCATCAAAATTACACTTCAACCCTCTTAAGTACGGTTTAGTCCACTGTTATCGTGTCCGAGCTTTACTTAATCCATCTGGAGATTGCCATTTGTGATACTCCTGAAGCCTACTTTCGATCGCGATCAAAATCTCCGTTTGCGCCCCAAATACTTGACACCAACATAAGACATAAGTTGAAAGCCTGCTTTGACATTTTTGTGCAGCACCCAAAATCTATGCTCTGAAACTAGTTACAAGTGCCTCACGGACTCAGAGCCCCAGTCGCGCCAACCACATCACAGCAGCAAAATCACAGCCTCGCAGCACATGTTCAACAGTTTTCGGGTTGCTTCTAGAAAAAGCACACTCCATATCTTGTAACAATCCTCTTCTTGCTAGTTTTGTACGTGTGGGGATACTATCCGAACATCCTTGCCACACATAAATTTGAACCTTTCTAGGAACCCGAGCTCCCCATAGTTGCCTCCAAAACACTTGTTCATCTTTACTAGCCCTGAAACGCTCAACTTCAACACCATCAAACACACATCTTGTCGAGCTACATGATAAGCAGTACATATCGAGAATTTGCCATTTTTCTCATGATGCCATATAAGTCTATCACAAGTGGATCGAAAGTTAAGTGGGATGCTTAGAATCAGCTCCACTTCCTCCACGTTAAATACGGTGTTCAGCAAGTCTTGATCCCACCGTCACATAACAGGGCAGATTTGGTGATCCACCATGGTCTCTAATCCCCAAATTGTTGGGCATGGGGTAATAACGCGAAAAAAATGTTCCCTAGGAATCTAGCTATCTTTCCAAATCTTCACCTCCTTCCTACTGATGATCTGCCATCTTAAACCTTTGTGTATAACACTCCTTGTTGTCGCAATGCTCTTCCAGCAATAGGAAGCATTAGCTTTAACAGGAGCATTCAAAAAATTAGTTGTCGGGAAATATTTTTCCTTGAACACCCTACACGCAAATGACTCTATACCCCGGACAAATCTCCAAGCCTGCTTGGATAGTAGTGCAATATTGAATGCATAAGCCATGACCACCTTCAATCTTGGGCTTACATAATATACATAAATTTAACCAATGCACTCTCCTCTTTCCTGGATCACTTTTCCACCAATACTTAGCGATCATCATGGTTAGCTCTTCACAAAAAGTTTATGGAAGTAAGAAACATTGCATCCTATACATCGTTAGAGCTTGGGCAACGATCTTAATTAAAACTTATTTCCTTGCACTGCCACGCCATCCATTTAGCCTATTCCATAAGCCTTCACATAAGCAAACGTTTCTTTCTTGGACTTACGAAGGAAGATGGGCAAACCCGAATAACGATCATGGAAGGCGACTCGTTGCACACCCAAGAAGTCGACTCATAGCTGCTGGTCTATGTCCGTGAGGTTGGAGCTAAAAGACACACAACTTTTGGTAAGGTTCATTGCTTATCTCGAGACCATTTCATACGTCTTCAATACTCGCTTAATATTACCGCATTCTTCGAGTGTCCCACGAGCAAATAAGAAACTATCATCGGCAAATAGTAAATGGTGAATCATGGGGCATCTCGGTAAACTCTTACCCCATTAATCCTCCTCTCACAACCTTCTTTCGTGAGCAATGCTAACAGACATGCAAATTACAAACAGAAACGGCGAAAACGGATCGCCTTGTCGAATACCTTTTTTAGGTTGGACATAGCCCACCGG